TAGGGGAGTCCACACTATAAACGAAAGGTATGTTTATCTTGTGGATGTTCTACTCCAAGGTCATGCCAGCAAGGATCACCTCTGTCACCAAGAGATTCTCTGGAGTCTCTCCGAAGTCTGCCTGAAATAAGGACCGCCTGATAGGTGACTAGTGAGGAAAATGAAGGGCTGCCTTACCCCATCCTCTGAACTCCACGTGTGTGTGGAATCATGCAGTAGTAAGTTTTCTTTCTAGTAGTGACTGTGCCTTCTCCCCTTCCAGAGCCGAGGGCAGACAAGAGCTTTCACACAAACTTGGCTGCAGAAAGCCCAGAAGTTGCCTAGATGTCAAGGCCAAAGGATTGGGACCCTCTATGCAGCCCAGATCAAAATGAGGCAGAAACAGGACATATGTTCCGCATGCCACTTCAGAGATATCTCTGGGTTAGAGGACACAAGGCCATTTGGAGCTCACTTTGATTTTTGACAGGACGAGAAGGAAAGTCTAGCCAAGGAAAGACTATTTTTGGTCAGAATAATAGCTTTTAAGCCTCCACTCTGTGTTTGGACAAAGTTGGGCTGGAGGGTTAAAAATGACTAGTGTGTGCATGACAGAACTGGAAGTGATAATTAGTGTGTCTGGAATCTGTGATGAAAAGCACTTCTCAAAGTCATCTAAGGGAAACATCCAGGGTTTTCTTCACTTCCGTGTGTGATGTCCTGTCAGTTCTTACACTGCCTGTCACAGGCTGTCCTCTCCTCTAGGTGGCCAGCCCTGCCGTGCTGAGTCGGCTTCTAGACCTGCTGCATGGCTCAGCCTGTGGAGCTGGGGGGAGCCCAGCATTTGGAACATACACAGGACAGGCTTAGAAGACAAAACTCACTTCTGGGGGAGCTTCTACTTGTTATCGCCTGGACTTAGACATGTCTCAAAAATTGCTGAACCAGGGGCCGGCCCAGTGGCGTAGTGGTTAAGTCCTTGCACTTTGCTTTGACGGCCCGGGTTTTGCTGGTTCAGATCCCAGGTGTGGAGCTGCATGCTGCTCATCAAGCCATGCCTTGGCAGGTGTCCCACATACAAAATAGAGGAAGATTGGCATAGATGTTGGCTCAAGGCCAATCTTCCTCACTGCCCCCCCCCCCCCCAAAATTGCTGAACCAGCCTTGATGGCCTAGTGGTTAAAGTTCAGCATGCTCCACTTTGGCGGCCCCAGGTTCCGTTCCTGGTCATGGAACCACACCGCTCGTCTGTCAGTCAGTAGCCATTCTGTGGTGGTGGCTCACATAGAAGAATTAGAAGAACTTACAACGAAAATATACAAATATGTACTGGGGCTTTGGGGAGAAAAAAAGCTGCTCTCTCTCCAGCACTAATTTAAAACTGGTCTCTAGTTGTTTCCCATATGTTTAGGCTAACTGCAGTGTATCAGCATGAACTTTGGCATAAAAATCTTCAGCTCCCTTAAACAAGCTCCCCAGGCCCCTACCTGCTGTCCTTCCTTCTGTTGTCTCTGTCTTCTGTTATCCACATCATGTTCCCTGTTGTCATCTTGAAGCATAAGATCATACCCTGAAATTCAGATAGCCCAAGGTTTTGTCTCCTACGTGGGCTATAAGCAAGGGATATTTTGGGTGATGCATAAAGATACGTTTAACTTAAACATGATAAGGCTAGAATTAAAACAGAATTTTCTAGAGCTTCCTTTAATCAACCACTCCGGGAGGGGGTGTCTCTCTATTTATTCAATTCCATTTGAACCTACTTGCATTTTCAGTTTGTCAGGTCCATCTGTCTTTTATTTAGAGGTAGTAAAGTACAGGATTTGAGTGCTTTGACTCCAGAATCAGAGAGATCTAAGTTAAAATTCTAGCCCACTGCTTATTAGCTGTGCCATTATGGTTAGTTACTTAGCCATGAAGAGCCAGTTTCCTCATTGGCAAAATTGATGTAAAATAGCTTTGAGGGGATCAAAGGAGATAGTATATGTGAAATACTTAGCACAGTGCCTGGCATGTAAAAAGCCCTCAATAAATGGTGGTTGTTTTTCTCCACTTAATCAAAAGAAATGTGTCTTGGGTATCTGCTGGGTTCAGGCATGTTGTAGGTACAAAAAAAGCTTCAAGACATTGGCCCCGTCTGTAAGAGTTTATGGTCATGGTTGGTGGAGGCAGGAAAGCAAAACACTTTCACGTTTCACAGGTGGAAAGTAATAAAGGACAGAGAGATCGTGAAAGGTAAAAGACTTTGAGGACAGGGTTATCTTTGAGTCGGGCTTTATAGGATGTGGAGTTGGGTGAGAGTGAAGCAACCAGCATTCTGGAGAAAGGGAATAACCCAAAGAGAGGCATTTGACAGGAATGGTGAGGACATGTCATTGTCCAATAAACAGTCTAGTTTGACCTGAATATAGGGAGTGAGAAAGACAGAGATGGGAAGCCAGATCAAAAAAAAAAAAAAAAGAGAAAGAGAGAGAGAAGATCAGAAAAGGGGTGCATGTCGGTTGCAAATGCCATTCTAAAGGGTCTGGCCCTTGTTTGATGGGCCATTGAAGGTTTGAGGGGAAGGGGAGGTAATAAAATCCCACATTTTGCTGTTTACCATATGAAGTATTATCTTTCTTCCATTTGTCCTAAATCTTTTGTTGTTTATTTATGATCTCTCAGGTTTCTGGAGAATTATTAGTGCAGAAAATTCTGAACATTAGTATGGTCTAATCATGATGTCCTGGGAGAGAGAGAGACTAGCCTTAACTCCAGTGAGGACCAGAGAGAATAAAGATCTAAAGTGGGCTACTCTGCTCCAAGATGTTCACTTCTTTTCCACCCTGCTGACAACACTGAAACTCTTACCAGATTTTATCTGGAACTTGGCAAATGATGAACTCTTTTCTCTAGAGGGTGCTCCAATATTGAATTTTCAAATACTGACTTTGCATGCCCTTTAGTTGTTGACAAGGTTGTCTTGTTAATTTTTTTAACATTATATATCAATGATATTGACTAGAGTGATGGCTCTAGTTATGGAGCCTATCTACATTCCACATCCTTTTTCACCTATGTTATGTTATCACAATTTCCTCTGCTTAAGATATTTTGAAGCAAAAGAATTCCACTCTTCTTGGGCACATATAACCCTGTTGGTGAACATGATGAGAAACAGTACTGGGTAAGGGATTAGACAGGCACAGAATGCATTTTATTTTGAGAGTTTTTTTTAAATGTCATACTGTCTTTGGCTAAATTGATTATAACTCAGGGAGTGCGGCTTAGAATAGGTACAGTGCATAAAATGGATTGCTCTTGTTTCAATGTTGACTTTTCTTCCTGTATGAGTGAATTACTTGAATCTGGAGGGTGGACTAATTTTACTTCTTTCCAGCCTAACGGGGATATCTACAGCCAGAAGGCAAAGTACAAAGGCTTACCAGAGAGGGCATGATGAAGCTCCACTCTCTGGAAAAAAGAAATAAGATACGAGGGGATGAGATGTTTTCAAAGGAGGGAGGGAGGCTGCAGAGCCTCCCCCCACCGTTGATGGATGCCTTAATGCTGCTAAAGATTCTATGTGGCTTCTAACCTTTTCAAAGGTTTGTTAGTTTTGTTATCCTAGTGGAAATCCTGCAATTGCTAGTATGTTTTTTCAATCCTAAAATGAGGTGAGGAGGCCTGGGGGTGTTTATTTAAGGAAGGAAAATGGTCCCAGCCCAGGAACATATGTTCTGGACTGGTAGAGTCAGGCAGGTAAAGGATAGGGCATGGTAGCTGAGAAAGAGCAAGCAGAAAGGATGAGTAGGGGAGTGGTGGGGGCTAGGCGTTGAAGTGTGCCTGTGTAGGGTAGCTAGCACTAGCGCTTCATTTTGTAACTTTGGGAGGCAAAAGACAACGTCGTCGTCAGAATCACATCACCGCTTGCCAGTCTCCAGAGACCTCAGCTCATCAGCCTCCACTCCACCCTACTGCACTTAGCGTTGGCAGCCCCAGTCCAGGAAGCAGTTGGTGAGGCAGCTCTTTGAACCAGACCGGGTCTCTTCACCGAATGCATCGGACCCAGAGAGGGGCCAGAACTCTCTAATCGTTGTCTCCTCCCAGGCATCCTTGCGCGGCACAGCAGGATCCGCGGGAGCTGTCCATGGTGCTGAACCCTTTCTTAGGCTTGGTCGGACCCACGGCTCGGGAAACGCAGCGTAGGGGAAGGGCTCAGCGTGTCCTGGGGAGGGTTAGGTGTGCAACGAGCTCCGGGCTCTGAATTTTAAATCTCTGCCGGAAGCCCCTACGCGACTCTGTTAACCCCAGCCCGGACTCTATGCAAGATACAGGGCTGAGGGACAGCTCCCTCGTCTCTCCCCGACATCCCGTGGTGTATCCCAATCCCCCACCCCACTACCTCCCTTGATCCCTCCTTATTGAAACTGCACCGGGTCATCCGGAGAACCTAGAGTCCTCTTCTCCCCCACCGCCCCCCGCCCGTCCGCCGCACTCTCTTTCGGAGCAGGACTCTCCCAGGGCGCTGCGAAGCTCCCGCAGTCTGAGATGCTCCCTCGTCCCTCTGGCCCAGGTCTGTCGGCCCCTCCTTTCTTTTCTGTTTCCATCCTCCTCACACTGTCCTTCTCTCTAGTTGTCTGAGCACCGAGTCGGCTGCTGCACGCTCCGCCCCCATTTTCCATACAAGGGAGCGCTGGAGTGGGGGCGGGGCGGAGGGGAGGTGCTCCCAGTCCCTCTCAAAAGCTGCGAGCCCACTGGGAACTCCTGAATCTGTTCAGCTCCCGCAGAGAAGCCAGAAGCCTGCACCGTCGTAGTGGGCGGAGGACAAGTAGGGGACAGCAGGGGTTCTGTCCCTCCCTCCCTGGAGCAATTTCCTGCTCGCCAAGCCCCATTCACTAGGTAGGACTGGACTCAAGTTCTGGCTGTATGGACTGAGAGGGCTCTTTACTGAGTAGGAGGCCTTTAAATAGCCTGTGCATGTCTAACCACGCATAGGTGTATTTTTACAGAGGTGGGATGACAGTACTTTTTATTGTTGCTTTTATTTATGGTGGCCAGTTATTCCGAAGGGTGTATTTGGGTGATTGAAGTGGGGGGCGCAGTTGGTGTAGGAGGGCGGTGGGAGAATATCAAGTGACAGACTTTGATTCTCTTTGGACAGGTGGCCATGGCCTCAGTGCCCACTCTGGGCTCCGAGGCCCCTGACTTATTTCCTGGGCTGCAGCCGGCGGCCTCGACTCTGGCCAACCAGAGCGCAGAGGCCTCGGCGGGTAACGGGTCAGCGGCTGGCCCGGATGCTCAGGCCGTCACGCCATTCCAGAGCCTGCAGCTGGTGCATCAGCTGAAGGGGCTGATCGTACTGCTCTACAGCATCGTGGTGGTCGTGGGGCTGGTGGGAAACTGTCTGCTGGTGTTGGTGATCGCGCGGGTGCGTCGGCTGCACAACGTGACCAATTTCCTCATCGGCAACTTGGCTTTGTCCGACGTGCTCATGTGCACCGCCTGCGTGCCGCTCACGCTGGCCTACGCCTTCGAGCCTCGCGGCTGGGTGTTTGGCCGCAGCTTGTGCCACCTGGTCTTCTTCCTGCAGCCCGTCACCGTCTACGTGTCTGTGTTCACGCTCACCACCATCGCCGTGGACCGCTACATGGTGCTGGTGCACCCGCTGCGCCGGCGGATCTCGCTGCGCCTCAGCGGCTACGCGGTGCTGGCCATCTGGGCGCTGTCCGCGGTGCTGGCGCTGCCCGCCGCCGTGCACACCTACCACGTCGAGCTCAAGGCGCACCGCGTGCACCTCTGCGAGGAGTTCTGGGGGTCTCAGGAGCGCCAGCGCCAACTCTATGCTTGGGGGTTGCTGCTAGTCACCTACCTGCTCCCCCTGCTGGTCATCCTCCTGTCTTATGTCCGGGTGTCGGTGAAACTCCGGAATCGCGTGGTGCCAGGCTGCGTGACCCAGAGCCAGGCCGACTGGGACCGCGCACGACGCCGACGCACCTTCTGCCTGCTGGTGGTGGTCGTGGTGGTGTTCGCCGTCTGCTGGCTGCCGCTGCACATCTTCAACCTGCTGCGGGACCTCGACCCTGGCGCCATCGACCCCTACGCCTTCGGGATAGTGCAGCTGCTTTGCCACTGGCTTGCCATGAGCTCAGCCTGCTACAACCCCTTTATCTACGCCTGGCTGCACGACAGCTTCCGTGAGGAGCTGCGCAAGCTGTTGTTGGCCTGGCCCCGAAAGATTGTGCCACACCGCCAGAGCATGACAGTCAGCGTGATCATCTGATGCCACTGTGCCGGGCCTTGGCTGGGAAGCTCCGTGTCCACTGGTCTCCAAGGGTGTCCACCCGAGGCTGGGCTGGAGAGCTTATTCCCAGCAACAGATCTAAGCCAATAGAGGCAAAACTTCTAGTCTAGCCCTCTTGCCCTGCTGTCTTGTCATTGTGTCTTTGTAAAATGTTAAGTGGGCTTTGGTGGGAGTCTCCTGCTTTGCTTGGAGGAGGCCAGGCAGAGGGAAGAGGATTTATTATTTCCTCTTTATGCCCTTGAAGGCCAAAAAAGCCCTTTCTCCAGGTTCAGGACAGTGTTTCCGTACTGTAGCTGTCTTCCTCGCTTTTCCTTCTGCTTGCTCAATGGTGAGATGAAGGAACAATGGGGGTGGGAATTAAAATGCCTGCATTGGGGTTGGTAAAGCTTTTCAGGTTGCCTTTTAAAAAGGACTCAACTGTGCTGTTATACATGATATTGCTTAGTCAGTTTGAACCCATTATTTTCTAGGATTCTAGGAAAATATGTATTACAAATCTACATCTAGGATTTCAGCATTCCCTGAATAAGACCCTTATACAACAAAAGAGTTTTAATTTTAAATTCACTTGAATTGATAGTACAAAAACACTTACCAGCCACCTTTCAAAATGTCCTATTATTTTCCCCCTTTATTACTCCCCAACTCCGATTTGAAATGATGAGATGACTTCGTCAAGAAAAGATAAGAAAATAAGGATAAAGAGGAAAAGGCTTAAACCACTTAAGGGGACATATAACTGTGCATAGGACAGACGTCCTATCTACGTGTTTGTTTGTGTGTGCACACCCAGTGTTGCCAGAAGGCAGACACTCAAATATTTGATTTTCTGAATAGTCAATGTCAACCATGTGCCATAGCATTCTCTTGCTTTTTCTAATTACTCAGTTGCAACAGATCAACAGCTGTCAACTGACTGTTCAACACGTGCTCTGTGGTGACACACTTGGAACATGCTCAACCCAGAATACGAGGACTGGGAGAAGTTTACTTCAGGCTGGAACAGAAAAATAAACTGCCACCCACTGGAGGCATAGATTAAACAGTTAATTCCTTCCAGGGTTAAGGGAACAGGTGAATACTGTTAGGCCACCATGCCAGGCTGATAATGCTCACCTTAACCTCCTGAGAGTTCTGTAAATGAGGACGAGTGCCCTGGGACAAGGGTTTCCACATTGACGTTGGAACAGTGACGAGGGCATGAGGGCAGGACTCTTGGGAAATGATACTCAATATTCAGCTGTCAGATCAGCCCCGGTGGCATATATGGCATGAACTAGTGTCTGCAGCCACTCAGCTACCATTTGTAAGATTCTAATACTGCCCCAGCTCACTGAACAGCAGAATCAATGTTTCTCCACCTCTTCCCCTCTCTTACTCTCCAAAATAACTCATTCACTCATTAAACTGTGCTCTGAAAGGAAGGGAAAGAGGGACTGATTTGGGGATGGCAAGGATTAAATCCTATTACTTCAATGTCAGGAACCACGATGGCAGAGTAAGTATTCATGGTTGGGCTAGTTAGCAAGATGAGTCTTTAGTAGTTATGTGACTAGACTTTTTGCAGCACAGGAAGGGCAAGAAAATGCTGGAGAAAGGAAAAGCCTGGTTAGCTTGAGATATGCAAGTTACCTCTGGCAATGGCACTAAAACTAACTTTCAGCTTTATCTATGGATGTGGAGAACAAGGAGCCTGTGCTCTGATAATGTAGCCCACCCACCACAATACGTCACTCCCCCTTCCCCAGATGAGCTGTTTCCCAGGCCTCCCGGGGCTGGCTCCTCTGCTTCCAGCAGCTCCATCACTTGGGAGGTGCAAGGCCAGACATTTCTTGTTTCCTCTGAGCATTCTTTTGACGGTATGCGTGGGGAGATCAGGGGAAGGGGGAAAGGCGGGATCATTGGGGAGGGATCCGATTAATTGTAGATACTATCTTGGAAGGTTTAAGTCACTGGTTCTCAGTCCTGACTGCTCCAAAATCACCTGGGGAGCTTTCAAAAAACATCACTGCCCAGGCCCTATCCCCAGAGCGTCCAACTGTTTTTTTTTTTTTAAGTCCACTCTTTGGACTGGTCTTTTTTTTTTTTTTTAAAGATTGGCAACTGAGCTAACAACTGTCACCAATCTTCTTTTTCTTTCTTTCTTTTTTTCCTACTTTTTCTCCCCAAATCTCCCCAGTATATAGTTGTATATTTTAGTTGTGGGTCGTTCTAGTTGTGTCATGTGGGCCCCCAGTGTGGCCTGATGAGTGGTGCCATGTCTGTGCCCAGGATCTGAACCAGCAAAACTCTGGGCTGCTGAAGCGGAGCAGGAGAACTTAACCACTCGGCCACAGGGCTGGCCCCTCCAGTTGTTTTGAGATAGGGCCTGGGCATCAGCATTTTTCAAAGCACTTCAGGTGATTTTAATATACATCCAAGATTAAGTGCCTTAAGAATTATCCTGTTTCCCATGAATCTCAGAAAAATCTGAATGAAGCTTTGATTGCACCTGCCAAAGGTATTAGGAATTTGGAGTTGAAAAAACAACAAAGAATTTGGAGTTGAATTCTGACATGAGTTACTTGCCACACTTGGGGAATGCTTGCTTGGCCTTCAGACAATCCCTGATGAATCACACAGAGGCAAATCCTTATAATCAGAATAGGTGGGTAGCCATTCAATGGCTTCCTCACACATGTCCTATGGGAAGGCACTCTGTGAGTCCACTCAGTTTTTTAAAATGTATTATCACTCAACTTCAGATCAATTTCATTATAAAATTATACATCATGAATTATTCCAAATCCTGGTTGCTAAGGTGTTTAAAAAAAATGAAGTGTGCCCCGATTTGCTTGATTTAAACCTATATCAACTATAGGAAGAAAGTGTCCCCATTAATCACTAGAAAAGCTGCCACCTGTTTCTAGCATGCCTACAACTTAAGTTAAAATTTTTAACATTTACACAGACTTTATGGAAAGCCTAAAGAGGTCAGCGATTTATGCTGTGTTTATAAATGTCTTTCCAAATTATGCAAATTGGCAACTGAACAGCAACTAATTAATTCTGACCCTATCTATTGGGGACTAGTTTGACTATAAAACAAACTGACTTTAAAAAAATTCTTTCAGGGACTGGCCCCAGGGCCAAGTGGTTAAGTTTGCACACTCCACTTTGGCGGCCCAGGATTTCACCAGTTCGGATCCTGGACGTGGACGTAGATCCGCTCATCAAGCCATGCTGAGGCGGTGTCCCATAGAGCAGAGCCAGAAGGACCCAACTAGAATATATAACTACGTACTGGGGGGCTTTGGTGAGAAGAAGAAGAAAAAGAAAAAAAAGAAGGAAGATTGACAACAGATGTTAGCTCAGGTGCCAGTCTTTAAAAAAAAAAATCTTTCAGAAGTGCGTCCTAGTGAAATCCACGTAGGATTGAGGTAGGAAATTTTATTTAATACAATTCATTTTAGTTAATACCAAGCCTCCAGTCCTCTTCCTGCAAGGACTGACCGTAAAGCTGAGATCTGAGCCAGCCTGGAAATTGGCAGCAGCCCTTTCCGAGGCTGGTGAGAGGGTCTGTAATCCTCTTTGCAGCAACGTCACCAAGTCCCACTTTTGGCAGCCAATCAATAGTTTTATCTCACTAAATCGGCTGGGGAGTGTTTCAACACGTGTTAGCAACAGTTACCTGGAAATAGCAACTGTGAGAGATGCTAAGGGAACAGTATTCCAATTGATGTACCCCTCCTGAATTCTTGTTCTTGTGCAGTCTCAGTCTGCTCTTCTACCTGGGGTGCTAAGTTCCAGATTTATTTCCTCAGGCAGGCTAGTTAGCCACCTCTGTCCTGTGGCTTGCATTCCTGAATATCTACTAGTCTTGCAAGTGCAAGGCATGGAACTGACATCAAGGGGACCCAGGCAAGAGTGCGGCTAGATCTAGGAGTGAACCCAGGGTCCATCCCCCACAGATGAGAGGTCAGGAGCACCTTTGTTCCCCAAGGTAGGTCCTCGATTGATTTCCCTTCGTGCACTGATGTCTTTGTTATGTGCGTAAGAGGCACGTGTGTCTGACTCATTGTGTGAAGCTCTTCATGCTGAGAATTGTACTGTGTTCAATGCATTGTGGGTGCTCAATAAATAGTAAGTCAATAGGACAGCCTCTGGTCCTGGGATTAATAAACCACACCAGCTACACACACAGTGTGACTACACAACCTCAGGATGGCCAGGGTGGAAGCAAGGATGAATCATGCCAAGAAAATGCTACTCAATCTAGATGTGTCAATTCCAGCTAAGTCCAGGAATGAACTTTTCAGTTGGGATCTTCTGTGGCCCCCTGACCCCAACCTCAGTAATGACAGCATTTTAGCATGTGGCACCAAGCTCTATGCTCTCCAAGACTGCATGTCCCTGGGGGCCAGGCCGGTGCTGTAGTGGTTAAGTTTGCGTACTCTGTTTTGGTGGCCAGTGTTCGTGGGTTTGGATCCTGGGCATGGACCTATGTGCCACTCATCAAGCCATGATGTGGTGGCGTCCAACATACAAAATAGGGGAAGATTGGCATGGATGTTAGCTCAGCAACAATCTTCCTCAAGTGAAAAAAGAGGAAGATTGGCAATGGATGTTAGCTCAGGGCCAATCTTCCTCACCAAAAAAAAAAAAAAAAGGAAACGATTATATGTCTCTAAATCCACAGGTCCATCAAAGGGAGAGTAGAGAATTCATGCTTAATTTCTATATCATCATGAATCTGGACCATTATTTAAATGTTAGCATTTAACTACCCACATCCACATACAACTTGGGAAACTCAGAAACATCCAGCTTATCGGTCTATAAACAAAATTTGAACATCTAGGTTCCAAAATGTTCATGACAGAATCAGTAACAGGATGTTTCAGTACAACTAAAATAAGACTTAAAAATGGATTATGTGCACCTTCCCAAGAATCCATCTATTTTGCAAAGTGAGATAAAGTAGTCTACAGATGTTGGAAATGCAAAGTATTCATTTGGACAGACGAGGGTTGCCATCTTGATTTGTTAAAATACTGTGCCTTCCCAATCAGTCTTTGGAAGAAGAAAGCCTGATTTTGAAAATTGAGTGTGAACACTTGTGAAGGTTTTGAATTGTTCTTCTCTACTTTCCAAGTCAATTCCTCCTCATTTCCCACTTTTTCTCTATTCTGCCTTTTTTCTGCTGCTCTTCCATATTATCTATAAAATATCTCTGATCTGATCTAATCTGAAGCTCCCTCTGCTCCAGTGAAGGGGAGGTGGTGGGATTCAAGCATCCCTCCTCTGAGGAGTCCTTATAGGGTGACACGTTGGAGAGAAAGCCTGGCTCCTTCCTTTGCAGAGGGAGCCTGCAGCAAACAAGTGGAGGGCTGCTGCTCGTTCACTTCCTGCCCACTGTGGGGTCTTGGAGCTCATGCAATTAATGTTTCACAGGCCAGCTCCAGGCAGAGATGGATAACAGGAGTTTGCACAGATTCTCTGCAGGGCCCTTAACATGATAAATCTCACGGAGAGCTCTCAAGAGGGACCTAAACGAAAGGTCAAATGTGTTTCATTTTGATGTTTGGGACTGGAGCAAGGAAAGCTGAGCCAGAAAAAGCACAGGACAAACAGTCTCTTCTTGTCAGCATTTCCCGGCCTCCCTTCCTCAGCCCTCACAAAATCCTCTTCCTGACTTGCCCTTGACTAAATCCCCTTGGCCCAGGACTCATCTCCTTCTGGAACGACATCTAATGATGAATGGAAAGCTACATCCTTCTCCCCCACCACACACACTCAGTTATTGCCAAGTAATGAAAAAAAAAAAATCCTTTGAGCTGGACAAATTAGATAAAAACTCCAGGCCCAAGCTCTGGGTTAGAAGTCAGGTGCAGGCTTCTCCCCTTAGCCCAGAACACCACACTCACTCGTGGGTCTGCATCCTAAGAGGCTGGCCCGTCACCTGGGTTGGAGGCACAGTGTGGCAGCTAACATGCCCCAGGGCAGTCAGACGAAGTGGCCTGGCCATGCCCAGTGTGCTAAAGGCTGGTTCCTGTATGGTCAGCCCTTCTGAGGCTGCTGCCCATTGCAGAGCAAATGCTGGGGGCACGCTGACCCCCTCATTATTACAGAGACAAAGGGCGGTTGCGGGTGGGAAACTGGAGTGCTTGCAAGTCCCTTCACTGGCGATGATGGCTTCTTTAGGATGGACCTCTTTTTATGCCTATTTCCCCCCCACCGCTGTTTCCTCTAGGAAACCCTGTTTTCTTTCTATGATATAATTACTACCTTTTGGGAGACAGATGTCTTCTAAAGGCTTCGAGTGAGACTAATGACAAGCAATCCTGAGGTGCAGCTGAGCTAAAGCCAAATGACCTGGCGGGAATGCATGTCCTTCCGCCCGACCTAGCTGCATCCGAGGCACCGGGGACCCGTGGTCTTGCACGTCAGGTGTGCTGCAGAGAAGGCAGTCAGGCTCGGAGTGGAGGAGGATCGCGGGTGTGGAGAAGAGCGGCGCCGGGAGCGGGGGTCCCGGTGGGGCCTGCGCGCCGCGCCAGCACATCTGTCGCCACCGCTAGTGCCTCCCACGCCCGCGAGGTTGAGCTGGTTCCCGGGGACTGGCTGCATGTCCACGCCCAGGCTGCTGGGCCCTTGTCCCCCGCGAAGGGCAAAGGGCATCTCACACGCGCTGGCGGGCTATCTTTAGGGCCGCTGCTGCTGGGGCGCAGCAAGCAGCAGCTCATCGTGGGCTGTGCTCTCAGTGTCTCAGAGGGAGTCACCAGCGACTCCCTTCTCATCCACATGAGCAGCCGCACAACCTGACCAACTTCTGGCCTTCTACGGCCGGCTCCTGCGCCCGCGCGCGTGCGCCTGAGCTTGGCCTTCGAGTTCGAATCGCTGCGCTGGCTGCGCGGCGCCCTCCTCTGCTACTTTGTGGTCCTCCCGCAGCCCCGCGACGGCGCAGTGTCGGTTTGCGCTGACTGTCCTCGCAGTGGATCCTCTATGAGTCCGCGGCTGTCCCGCCGCTGGGCCGCGCGCTGGCGGCGCTCGAGGGGCCGCACCCCTCTGTCGCTGATCCCGTTGTGGCCA